CCATTACGAACTTCAAATACCAAATTTGAAACAATTCCGGTGAATAAAGTAGCTAAAATCATCAAAATACCGAATATCAGGAGGTACCGGTACCATGGGTGCTATTCCAAAACGAGGACCTACATGTCCCATTTTCAATACAAAAAGTCCTGCAGACATAAAATACATTTGAGTAAAATTTTATCAATCTACTTCGTTTCGTTCGGAAGATAGAGTGATGTCCACAGGCGGGCAGACGGACGGACATCACTAAATCGACATATATACTTCGTCGGGTCTAAAATGTATATTTCGAGGTGTTACAAACGGAATGACAAACTTGATATACCCTCCATACTATGGTGGAGGGTATGAAAAACACACGAACACGGACATGCAACCACCTTTTTTGTAACCAGGCGGGAAAATGGAACTGGAAGAATGTTTTGGAATACTTTCCGAATTTCATTAAAATCAGTGTGAAGAGTTGGCGGATTTTTTTTAATAATATTTTTTATTCAACAACAATCGTGAATCGTTTCCAAAATCAGTCTGAAATCATTAGTTTTTTAAGAGAACATTTATAGTCCCCTTCCCTTCTGGAGGATCCCATTTTGTATCGACCCTACTGTGCACTATCGCCACTACATACTAATTTTCGCGACGTGATTTTTTTTTTATCGGCGGTGTACTTTAAGTTGAAAGAAAAAACCCCTAATTCCCGCTTTTAAATTCGAATAAAATTAAGACTCATTAGCATGCTGCAGAGGTTCTGGACGGTTGACAACACACTCACATAAAACCCTTGAACGCATGCGCTCCAGAGATTTTTGTTGTGGAGAGAAATACACTCATAAAAGTTCCAGGCATTTGTGGCGAGGCGATTGTTAATCGCTCGGTCTATTAGTGACGACATTACTGGTGTTAAAGTTGGTCGATAGCTTAACAATATTTGTTGTTGGTGTTGGTGGTGTTTTTGTTTCTTCAAGTCACGTCCCAGCTGGTCCGGTTACAGCTCAGCCCTGCCAGCTAGGTAGCTAGCTAGCTCGTGGCGAGAATTAATGCACTCGTTGAAAACTGCACTGAGCTAAATGGCCGGCCGCATGCGCGTCAAGGGAATTCTCTGGTTTTTGTGCCCGGTTTGGAGGTGTTGAAGGCGCAGCCAGGCAGGCACTCAAGCCATTGCATCGGCAGAGGCTTAAACGCACAATGAACTTTTTTATTTCAAACTTTATTTCAAGGTTACTTCAAAATGTGAATGTCTTATGTGGCTGACTGGGCATGCGCGGGGCTATTAAACTCTGCTGTCAACAAATAATAAATCACTTTGAGAGAAGCACAGAAAGAGAGACAAAAAGGGAAATGGAAAAAATTCTAAAATTGGGGGGAGGAGGAAAATTTGGAGTTTCACTTTCAATCATAACAGAATAAATGTTAAAGAAAAATTTAAAAATATTTTTAAAAAATCCACGTTCACGTTTACGTCTTGAAAAAATATTTTTTAAATCCGCATTTATGGTTAGGCTTCGAAAAAATATTTTACAAAAATCCACGTTTATGTTTACGTCTTGAAAAAATATTTTTAAAAATCCGCATTTATGGTTAGGTCTCGAAAAAATATTTTAAAAAAATCCACGTTTATATTTTGTCACAGAAAAATATTTTTAAAAATTACACGTTTACATTTTGGCATTGAAAAAATATTTTTAAAAAATCCACGTTTACATTTTGGCCTTGAAAAATTTTTTTTAAAAAATCCACGTTTATATCTTGGCTTTGGAAAAAATCCACGTTTATATCTTGGCTTTGGAAAAATATTTTGAAAAAATCCACGTTTATATCTTGGACTGAAAAAATATTTTTAAAAAATCCACGTTTATATCTTGGCTTTGGAATATTTTGAAAAAATCCACGTTTATATCTTGGTCTGAAAAAATATTTTTAAAAAATCCACGTTTATATCTTGGTCTGAAAAAATATTTTTAAAAAAACCACGTTTATATCTTGGCTTTGGAATATTTTGAAAAAATCCACGTTTATATCTTGGTCTGAAAAAATATTTTTAAAAAATCCACGTTTATATCTTGGCTTTGGAATATTTTGAAAAAATCCACGTTTATGTTTGGTCATTGAAAAATTATTTTTAAAAAATCAACGTTTATGTTTGGTCATTGAAAAATTATTTTTAAAAAATCCACGTATATGTTCACTTCTTGAACAAATATTTTTAAAAAATCCACTTTATGTTTAGTCTTTGAAAAACACATTTTTAAAAAATCTACCCTTATGTTTCGGTGTAGAAAAAATATTAAAAAAAAAATCAGCTTTATGTTTTGGTGTTGAAAAAATATTTTTAAAAAATCGACCATTATGTTTAGGTCTTGAAAAAATATTTTTAAAAATCCACGTTCATGTTTAGGCTTGGAAAAATATTTTTAAAAAATCCACGTTTATGTTTAGTCATAGAAAAATATTTAAAAAAATCCACATTTATGTTTAGTCATAGATAAATATTTTTAAAAAAAATCCACGTTTATGACTAGGCCTTGAAAAAATATTTTTAAAAAATCCACATTTATAAATGGTCGCTGAAAAAATATTTTTAAAAAATCCACATTTATAAATGGTCGCTGAAAAAATATTTTTAAAAAATCCACGTTTATAAATGGACCATGAAAAGATATTTTTAAAAAATCCACGTTTAAAAATGTCGTTGAAAAATATTTTTAATAAATCCACGTTTAAAAATGGTCGTTGAATTTTTTTTTTTAAAAATTCCACGTTTATAAATGGTCGTTGAAAAAATATTTTTTTAAAAAATCCACGTTTATAAATGGTCGTTGAAAAAATATTTTTTTAAAAAATCCACGTTTATAAATGGTCGTTGAAAAATATTTTTAAAAAATCCACGTTTATAAATGGTCGTTGAAAAATATTTTTAAAAAATCCACGTTTATGTTTAGGCTTTTAAAAAATATTTTTAAAAAATCCACGTTTATGTTTAGGCTTTTAAAAAATATTTTTAAAAAATCCACGTTTATGTTTAGGCTTTTAAAAAATATTTTTAAAAAATCCACGTTTATGTTTAGTCATAGACAAATATTTTTAAAAAATCCACGTTTATAAATGGTCGTTAAAAAAATATTTTTAAAAAATCCACGTTTATAAATGGTCGTTAAAAAAATATTTTTAAAAAATCCACGTTTATAAATGGTCGTTAAAATAATATATTTAAAAAATCCACGTTTATAAATGGTCGTTAAAATAATATATTTAAAAAATCCACGTTTATAAATGGTCGTTGAAAATATATTTTTAAAAAATTTACGTTTATAAATTTTCGTTGAAAAAATATTTTTAAAAATCCACGTTTATGTTTAGTTTTTGAAGTTATGTTTTTAAAAAGTCCACGTTTATGTTAAGGTCTTGAAAAAATATTTTTAAAAAATCCACGTTTATGTTAAGGTCTTGAAAAAATATTTTTGAAAAATCCACGTTTATGTTTAGGTCTTGAAAAAATATTTTTAAAAAATCCACGTTATGTTAAGGTCTTGAAAAAATATTTTTAAAAAATCCACGTTTATGTTAAGGTCTTGAAAAAATATTTTTGAAAAATCCACGTTTATGTTTAGGTCTTGAAAAAATATTTTTAAAAAATCCACGTTTATGTTAAGGTCTTGAAAAAATATTTTTAAAAATCCACGTTTATGTTAAGGTCTTGAAAAAATATTTTTGAAAAATCCACGTTTATGTTTAGGTCTTGAAAAAATATTTTTTAAAAAATCCACGTTTATATTTAATCATAGAAAAATATTTTTAAAAAATCCACATTTATATTTAATCATAGAAAAATATTTTTAAAAAATCCACGTTTATATTTAATCATAGAAAAATATTTTTAAAAAATCCACGTTTATATTTAATCATAGAAAAATATTTTTAAAAAATCCACGTTTATATTTAATCATAGAAAAATATTTTTAAAAAATCCACGTTTATATTTAATCATAGAAAAATATTTTTAAAAAATCCACGTTTATATTTAATCATAGAAAAATATTTTTAAAAAATCCACGTTTATATTTAATCATAGAAAAATATTTTTAAAAAATCCACGTTTATATTTAATCATAGAAAAATATTTTTAAAAAATCCACGTTTATATTTAATCATAGAAAAATATTTTTAAAAAATCCACGTTTATATTTAATCATAGAAAAATATTTTTAAAATATCCACGTTAATATTTAATCATAGAAAAATATTTTTAAAAAATCCACGTTTATGCTTAGGCCTTGAAAAAATATTTTTAAAAAATCCACGTTTATGCTTAGGCCTTGAAAAAATATTTTTAAAAAATCCACGTTTATATTTAATCATAGAAAAATATTTTTAAAAAATCCACGTTTGTATTTAATCATAGAAAAATATTTTTAAAAAATCCACGTTTATATTTAATCATAGAAAAATATTTTTAAAAATCCACGTTATATTAATCATAGAAAAATATTTTTAAAAAATCCACGTTTATATTTAATCATAGAAAAATATTTTTAAAAAATCCACGTTTATATTTAATCATAGAAAAATATTTTTAAAAAATCCACGTTTATATTTAATCATAGAAAAATATTTTTAAAAAATCCACGTTATATTTAATCATAGAAAATATTTTTAAAAAATCCACGTTTATATTTAATCATAGAAAAATATTTTTAAAACATCTACGTTTATATTTAATCATAGAAAAATATTTTTAAAAAATTCACGTTTATGTTTTGGTCATTAAAAAATATTTTTAAAAAATCCTCGTTTAAGTTTCGGTATTGAAAAAATATTTTTAAAAAATCCACGTGTATGTTTAGACTTAAAAAATATATTTTTAAAAAATCCATGTTTAGGCGTTAAAAAAAAATATGTTTACAAATCCAAGTTTCTAATATTTAATTTTTAAACCCATATTTAAATTTCTGTTTTTCCTTCTCCCTCCCCTCTATTTAAATTCTCTCTTCATGCATGATTTAACCCTCTTTTTCCCAGACAATATCGAATGGAATGTTTGTTATCATTTTGCTTCTGTGTAAATTGGAACCCCTTTCCAAGTGGGATTCAATGCTGTTGTTATTGTCGTGGTCATCGCCACTGTTATGGAAAAATACTTTTCGAATATTATGAGAATGTTCAACTTTCTCAAGTCAGAACAACAGCAACAACAACAAGCACAACACTATGTGCAACAAGTTGAATGAAAATTCATGGAGAGTGTAGGTGACATGCGGACGACCTACACTAACCAGGACTCTAACGCCATATATTTATGGATTTTTTTTTTTTTTTTGAGAGATTTTCTATTGGTTGCATTGATGGTCGGTTCTCTATCTAATATTTTAGATGAATTGGCTGCAGTTTGAGCTAATTTTAGCCATGGGGAGCACCAACTAAGACAGAAGTAAGAATTCGGTAGAATTTCAGGAAACCCGAATTTGACATTTTTTGGGGCCCTAAAAATAATTTTACCATTGGGAATACCGGGGTAGACAAAATGCGAATTCGGTACGATTTCAGGAAACCCGAATTTGACATTTTCGGGACCCTAACCCACGGGGGAACTACAATGCATCTTTCAATCCAAACTTTCTGATTTCTTATATTTTAATTTTCCTCGGCTAACATATCCATTGAAGAACTGAACTTACCATCCCCCTGTGTCGCTGACCGATATAGTTTCTGGGGGACGGTGTTTACATTTTTTTTATTATTGTATTGGAATAAAGCATTTCGGACTTCGATAGCGAATGGTGATGGTGTTGCTGTTATTTTATTTTGTCTTATGGCACCCAAGCTATGGCTAGCTGGGCTTGCTTATCATCAACGGCAACAATTGTGGGTCTGTGCTTGATTGGTTAAGGTCATTGTCTAGAAACGCTTCAATAAATTTTAAATAAATAAATGATTTATATTTTCCGAGTTTGAATGCAAGGGAATCGTGTTGGGTATGGTCAGGGAAATGAGAAAAAAATGTTTAAATTTTCAGAAAAAAATGGAAAAAGATTTCAATTCTGTGGAAATATTTTTAATATTTTTTTTCAATTCAAAAAGAGAAGAGAAATTCTAAAAACCCATAAAAGGCAAACCTAAGCAATTTGTTGGCACATTGCAACAAATTAAAAATAATTCTTTGGAATCCTCAACCCAGTCTACTTGAAATGTTTAAAATTCTACAGCAACTCCAAAAGGGAATTGGATTTTGTTATATTACAACAAAACCGCACACAACAACTACAACATCAAAAAGTTTTTATTGATGTTAAAGTTTTATTGTTGCTTTATTCGCCAGTCAATGAACGATCAATCATCATCATCATCATGATCATGATCATCGTCATCCGATGTCATCCTATGACCATTCCAGTCACCACGCTCTTTATATGCATCACAAATGATGATGATGAGAATGCAATGATGACACTACCCAATGATCATCGGGTATTGCATTTTAATTGTGAATTCATTGATCGTTCATTGACATTTTGTTTTATTGTGCTGCGTTTAGCGGCGTTAATGGCTGGCTGCCCACCCCCCTTTTTGGAGGCAGTATTTGTGGTCGGTCAATGGAATGGAATTTTTTTTGCAATTGTTTCGTTGTTGATGACATTTATTGTACTCCAGGGATTAGAGAGGTATGGATTGGTTGGTAGGCTTATGTACTTTCATTTTTCTAAGAAAATGGTGTACGATAACAAGATTTTTTAAAACGATAACAAATTTTTCATAACTACAGGGACTGCACAGTGGCATTTAAAAAAAAATAAAGTCAAACGATGTCAATGTTTTTTTATAAAAATGTTATTCGATAATCGAAGTCAAGAAGGCAAAATAATCGATAAACAACATATTTGAAGAAAAAAAAAATAATCGAATAGTAGAAATGTTGTTCGATAACAGTTTTTTCTAAAAAAAATATTGAAAATTTGGTCGATAACAATATTTTCGATAGAAAAGTAGGTCGATAACAACATTCTCTATAGAACAGTTTTTCGATAACAAATTTTCCATAGAAAAGTTGCTGATACCAACATCTTTGATAAAAAAAAGTTGGTCGATAACAGCATTTTCTATAGAAAAGTTCTTATTTAACAACATTTTCTATATAAAAGTTAATCGATAACAGCATTTTCTATAAAAAAGTTGTTCGATAACAACATTTTCTATATTGGAAAGTTGTTTGATAACAACATTTTCTATATAGAAAATTTGTTCGATAACAACATTTTCTATATAGAAAAGTTGTTCGATTACAATATTTTCTATATAGAAAAGTTGTCCGATAACAACATTTTCTATATAGAAAAGTTGTTCGATAACAACATATTTTCTATTTAGAAAAGTTGTTCGATAACAACATATTTTCTAAATAGAAGAGTTGTTCGATAACAATTTTTTCTATATAGAAAAGTTGTTCGATAACAACATTTTCCATATAGAAATGTTGTTCGATAGCAACATTTTCTATATAGAAAAGTTGTTCGATAACATCATTTTCTATATGGAAAAGTTGTTCGATAGCAACATTTCCTATATAGAAATGTTGTTCGATAACAACATTTTCTATATAGAAAAGTTGTTCGATAATGACATTTTCTATATAGAAAAATGTTCGATAACAACATTTTCTATATGGAAAAGTTGTTCGATAACAATATTTTCTATAGAGAAACTGTTTGATAACAACATTTTCTATATAGAAAATTTCTTCGATAACAACATTTTCTATATAGAAATGTTGTTCGATAACAACATTTTCTATATAGAATAGTTGTTCGATAACAACATTTTATAGAAAAGTTGTTCGATAACAGCATTTTTCTATATAGAAAAGTTGTTCGATAACAACATTTTCTATATAGAAAAGTTGTTCGATAGCAACGTTTTCTATATAGAAGAGTTGTTCGATAACAACGTTTTCTATATAGAAAAGTTGTTCGATAACAACATTTTCTACATAGAAAAGTAGTTCGATAACAACATTTTCTATATAGAAATGTTGTTCGATAACAATATTTTCTGTATAGAAAAGTTGTTCAACAACAACATTTTCTATATAGAAAAGTTGTTCGATAACAACATTTTCTATATAGAAAAGTTGTTCGATAACAACATTTTCTATATAGAAAAGTTGTTCGATAACAACATTTTCTATATAGAAAAGTTGTTCGATAATGACATTTTCTATATAGAAAATTGTTCGATAACAACATTTTCTATATGGAAAAGTTGTTCGATAACAACATTTTCTATATAGAAAAGGTGTTCGATAACAACATTTTCTATATGGAAAAGTTGTTCGATAATAACATTTTTTATATAGAAAAGTTGTTCGATAACAATATTTTCTCTAGAAAAGTTGTTCGATAACAACATTTTCTATATAGAAAAGCTGTTCGATAACAACATTTTCTATATAGAAAAGCTGTTCGATAACAGCATTTTCCATATAGAAAAGTTGTTCGATAACAACATTTTCTATATAGAAAAGTTGTTCGATAACAACATTTTCTATATAGAAAAGTTGTTCGATAACAACATTTTCTATATAGAAAAGTTGTTCGATAACAACATTTTCTATATAGAAAAGTTGTTCGATAACAACATTTTCTATGTAGAAAAGTTGTTCGATAACAACATTTTCTATATAGAAAAGTTGTTCGATAACAACATTTTCTATATAGAAAAGTTGTTAGATAACAATATTTTCTATATAGAAAAGTTGTTCGATAACAACATTTTCTATATAGAAAAGTTGTTCGATAACAACATTTTCTATATAGAAAAGTTATTCGATGACAACATTTTCTGAATAGAAAAGTTGTTCGATGACAACATTTTCTGTATAGAAAAGTTGTTCGATAACTCTATTTTCTATATAGAAAAGTTGTTCGATAACAACATTTTCTATATAGAAAAGTTGTTCGATAACAACATTTTCTATATAGAAAAGTTGTTCGAGAACAATATTTTCTATAACACATTGTTCGATAACACCTTGGTTTACAGAAATTATTTTCGATATCCGCCTTTTCTATGATTAGTACCTTGATGTCCATTGACACCTTTCTATACACATCGCCCTCATTTGTGTTCATCTCTTCTCCATTTGTTTATTCAATTGCCTTTGCGTCATTGTTATGACTCTAAGCATCTCCCTTCTTCTTCTTGATTTACTTAATTTGTATTTATTCTGGCGACTTATTTTCTGTCCTCAATGAAGAAATGACAGCAAGCAATGGTTGGTGTTCGTATCGTTCCTTTGTTGAGGTGGGTTCAGGTAGCTTCTCCCACAGAACGAATGGTCGCCACCATTCAACACTTAAATGCATTGTTTATACAATCAATTGTCATTAATTTCTGCGGAGAACTAAGGTAGGTTGGTTGGATGGAAGCATGACAAGTCATTGCGTATGGAAATGCAAATAAAGGAATTCGGTTTTTGTGGTCATCATTATCATCGCCGATTAATGCATAGAATAACAAAAACCGAACAAAAAAACAAAACAATGGTTTTTGTTTTTGTTGTTGCTGGTGTACACATATGGTGGCATGAGTCACCCTGTGGGATTACATGTTCATATTGCGGTTGGCAAAAAATATTACTTCATTATCGGTTTTTTTTTATTTTTAATTTCCATTGAAATAAATTTGCGGATTTGAGCAATTTTATATGACTTTTATTAAAATAATATTTATACCCTACAACACTATGTGTTGGGGGTATTATAAGTTTGATTGGGCCAAAAATTATGTAACACCTCGAAATATTGATTTCCCACATAGGAAAGTATATATGGATCTTCCTATCTCGCCGAGCTGAGTCGATCTAGCTATGTATGTCCGTCCGTCCGTCTGTCCGTCTGTCCATGTTAATTTGTAATCACTCTACAGGTCGCAATTATGGTCCGATCTTCACGAAATTTAAAATGGAGGTGGGGCTAGGGTCAGAATAGAACCCTATTTCTTTTGGTGATGATCGCATAATATTTAGGGGTTGAAAAAATTCCTGATTTTTCACTTGCTCTACAGGTCGCAATTATAGACCAATCGACGCGGAATTTCGCCTGTAGCTAGAGCTTAGGGCGGGGAAGAAG